CAGTAATGGATGTCCGTGTTAAAAGAGGCGCAGAGCTATCAACCGATCATCACCTTGTTGTTGGCACGCTACGCTCTAAGAAATGGATTATAATACGAAGATCTGGTGGCAGAAGAAGCCACAAAATCAAATTGAAAACAGTATCTTCTGTGGATCTGAGGATATGACATCCAAAATACATCGCACAACGGTTTAAACAGTTCCCAGTGATGATCGCTAATGGGAAACCAAGTGAAAGATCTTTAAGTGCGGTTTACTCGAAGTTGTTGCCGAATGCTTTGGTTTAAAACTGGTTGGTCTGCAGCATGGAAGCTAGAAACAAACTTCCTTGTGGAACCGAGGAAGCTGGCCCTCAGCGAGAAGAAGGATGTATTCAAAAGATTGCTTGCAAACAAAATAGCCTTGAATTCGCATACCTTGCGAAAAAGCTCGTGAGCCGTCACTTAAAGCAGTGACAGTAACTAACACCGATTCAATTTCAGAACTTCAGTGAAGTGTTAAAGTCTAATTTCCAGATGGCATGTATTCTGAAAGACCATCCGCTGTCTTCGAGATGAAAAGAAGGGCAGTCAGGACATTCTTTTACAGAAAATGAGGAGATTGTTCGACGATGGGAGAGTACTTTGAGGAGCCCTTAACCCTGAGAAACCGCATGAAGACTCGCCGGAAGAGCAACAGCGAGTGGAAATTACTCTTTCTATGAAAGAAATCGGACAAGCTGTGAAAAGCTTGAAATGTAGAAAGGCTGCTGGAATCGATGAAATTCGCCCTGACGTGCTCAGTGTATTAGACGAACAACGTGCATGTTGGCTTACATATGTCTGTCAAACTGCAAAGACTACGAAGAAGATACCAGCGGTTTGGAGGGCGCCGAGGTTGTTGCACTCCTATTTAAAAAGAGAGACGAGAGTAAGTGCTCCAATAATCGGATCATTACCTAATTGAACCTCTCGGATTAGGTCTATGCAACGGGGCTAGATAGGAGGTGTCGTGGAAAACTCTAAAATGCAAGAAGGGCAGTGTGGCTTTAGGTCAGACCGAAGGACTTCTGACCAGAAATTCGACTTACGCCAGATTGTTGATAAACATGGGAGTTTGTTCATCAGGTTTACATGTGCTTTGTTGACATAGAGATGGCCTATGACTGGATGCTGCCCAATGGTCTATGGGCATGCCTGAGAACATATGGGATTGATGACAAGTTTCTACGGGTCATTCAATCATTGTATATTGATAGTAGGTCCTGTGGCAAAGTAAATAGCGTTATATCGCGACCCTTCAGCGTTTGCAGTAGTCGGTGCCAAGTCTGTGTTCTGTCTCCTCTTTCCTTTGTGCTTTACATGGATAGAATAGTGAGGCGCATCGAATGCGACAAGTGTATCAGCGTAGTAGACGTGGAGACGAGAAAGTGTATGTTTGCAGACCACCTTGCTTTTTGGTATCTTTTAAAACTGATCTCCAACTCTCTCTGGAAAGGTTAGAGTGTGTGCAGTGTGCGTGTAAACATATCTAAAACGAAAATCCCCGTGCTTTCTCGTCCACCTGCCCATTGCTCTTCAGAATAACAGAGAAGTAGTCGAACAGGTGGAGAAGTTTAAGTACCTCAGGGTTGTATTTACTGGTAATGGAAAATTTAGCGAAGAGATCGAACGGCGGATTGGAGTAACCAGTGGCGTTCAGCGTGAACTTACTTAACCGTGAACAGTTGTGGCTAGAGCAGAGTTGAGTCTGTGGATTACGCTCCCTGTGTTCAAACAGATCTTCATTCAAATGCTCACCCACGGTCATGAGTCGTGAGCTATGACCGAATAACTTTAGTCTCGGGTACAAGCGGCAAGTGAAGTAATCTATCTGAGGAAAATCGCTGGCCTCACGCCTCTCGCATGATTATCTGATTAGCCTTGGTGTAGAGTCCTTACTTCTCGAGATTGAGAACTCAAAGCTGCAATGGTTTACGCACATATTCCGAACTGCTGAATAACGGATAGCGAACCAACTAGCTTCTGTTCAAACGGTCGGCAGAAGTCCCTTATTCTGTGCAAGATAGACCTGGAACAAGCGGATATAAGAACATCGACCTATATTCCGGTTGTCTTTTGCTGAAGTTCAAGTGCTGGCACGGGATCCGGTATCCTTGAAGCATTATGCCAAGCGTCTGCCTTCTCGACCTAGAATGGCAAATATCCATGGAAATTGAATCAAATTGATAAGAGTTAGCCACGCAGGGGACGTAGACCATTCTGAAGTTTGACTAAATATGTGTGTAATCGTTTATTATTAAGATATCCAGATACAAAATATCATATTTGTTTGTCAGCAAGGATGCCTTCGGCATTTTCCAGTTGAAAGTTTCGGAAACAATTAATTCGTATTACGTCACAGTCGCAATACCATAAAATTATCATTATCGAATCTTTGCGAAGTACGTAATAGCTTTATATCCGTTCCTGAGAGAGCACTGCGCCAAGAGAAAATACCGTAGAACTACTGGTATATGTCCCTTGGTTTCATTATCCCTACAGAAGAATCTGATATTTCTACCAATGGTATCGCTACCGTACCTCGCCAGAGCCGCTACTCATTTCTCATTAAGGGGATACTCAATCGACCAGCTGATTGACAACGGCTTTGAATAATTCTTAAAAAATGCTAGATGGACTACTGTTGACATGCGAAACAATTCAACTCAAAAGAGCAAGCTGCGAGCTGTTTTGAAACAGACGATACTAACGGAAGTTCAAAACCGCTGCGTTTTTAGTTTTGTTCTTCATCTGATGATAAATCTGATTTGAACAAGGAAGTGCATGTTTGATACCTGAACTAGAGTAATTTCAAAGAAGTAATTATTCCTAGCTCAGTCATATTGTGACGGGTGTCAAGAAACCGGCTGTGACATTTAAAATATTGTGCGAGCAGTGTACCAAACATTTCAAGTCAGTTTCAGCAGCAGCAAGGTTATTAAAAGGTTAATTTCGAATTGCGTGATTGACTATTTAAAAAACCATTAGCCAGAAGGAAAGTTTGACTACCATAAAATCGAAAGCATTACAGAAACATTGTCGTTGCCAAAGCTGGTTGCCACTTATGTGGCATTTGCTATATAACTAGCGATGCATTTCAGCCCATATCTAACGTTCTGATACGCCCAACAGCAATTAGTAGGCAAAAGAGAACACCTGTTTCAAAATCGATGCAACACTAATGTCATTTTATTAAATATAAATTGCCACGTAAGCTACAATGATATAATAAATTTAAGACAACGCAATGCAGCACTAAAATTTTTATAGTGAACGCAAATTTGATGCTTTTTGAAAACAGAAATTTTTATTGTCATATGTTCGCTCCTTTCGTAAAACGGACATGGGTAATGCAATTACCATTTCATCCGTCAGCTGCACTCGAAAAAATCATAAAAAGTGAAGCACATTTTCTTGCAAGTAATCTTTGAAGTGCTGAATGCCATTGACGGTCTCATTTATCACAACAAAATGCATCAATGGCGAACATTGGGATAGTCGAAACTACAGCAAAAACTCTATTTTATCCGTCTGATCGGGTGATAAGTAAAGCATTATGGCGTGTAGTATTAACCCGTGATACTGGTGGCAGTGACGACTACCTATTGCATCAATTTTTTGTTTTATGTTATTTTTGAAATGGTTCGTAATAGTTTTTAAAGTAGTGGGTGATACTTAAAAATTTTAAAGGGGATCTGGACGATGGTTTTGGATTAAAGTTTGCATAAATTAGTTAATTTAAATTCATTTTCTCCATTAGTTATTCAAATAGATCAATTCAAATTCAGGGTTGCGTAACCACTGTTAAACCCGGAGTAAGATCTGCAACGAAATTGCCTATCCAACACACCATCTTGAGATAGCAAGTCGTTGCGAATCTTGTTCCAGAATTAAGTGTTCAATAAATAATATTGGGATAAGTTATATCAACCTTAATTCCTTTATGCTTTCCTTTCCGGTGATTAGAAAACCGTACACTGGATTAAGAGATGCGATCAATCGAGGTAAATGGCATTTCGTTTATTAATCTAATTACATATTCCTTTTGTAACTGATATCTAATATGCCTCTAGCTGATATCTGTGAAAGGTTAATCACCCGTGTCGCGTACGTTGCCGAATCCTATTAAGGCAATAGTAGCAGCGCTTAGGTAATCCTAGAACTTGGCTGTTCGATGATAACCGAGAAAAGCAGACCGTTTGACTTCCTATTTTAGTTCGATTTCTTTTTAATGAAATTGGCTGAATTTAGTTTTGCAGCTCTTAACGTGAACAAATTGTTTTGACTTTTAAATTCTCGAACTTTTTTCTCTATGAAACCTGTTAATCAGTTAGTTTCGTACGGTAGTCCTCACATTGTATCAGTTTTCGGCTTGGTACGGTTTTTAGCTGTTTCAATTTGTAATTGTTGTTAGATGTTATTATTAATGTTTATAATATTATGGTTGTTTTTAGTAGAAAACGGAAAACACTAATCAAATGCAAGGAAGAGAAGATCTGCTTGGTCTGTGCTCTTGTCTGCTGGATGAGAAGATGATCACCACATCCGAAATCCAGGCCGTGCGCGAGCTGAACGTCGAGGTGGAGCAGCATCTGATCGATCTGCTGAAAGTAAGTGTTTCGATCTGTTTGAAAGAGGGGCAGCCAGCTGTCCGTTGTTACTGTTCCTGTTATGTCTGTATGTTAGTCTTTTTATATATTTGTTTGTTTGTGTTGATCGTGTCATGTCGTTGACAGCGATTGTCGCGATAGCGGCGGCGACTTTCGAAAGTGCGCGCGACGCGCGTCGTTTTGTGTTTCCACGTCAGAATCTTTCTTATTTTGCATGCTCCTTGTTTGCAGGTATCATGGGTGAATGGTCACCAGCGCCTGACACTGTCTAAGCTGATCCAGTCACACCCGGACTCGACGCCCCAGAACTCATGTGCCCAACTAAGGTATTACGAGTGCGCGACGTTCGTTCCAGCACACAAGCGTCTGGGCTCGTCGCAGCTGACAACAGTCACGGCACTGCTGCGACTGTTGCTGAACAATAGTCGTCTGGTGGCCGAGATGCTGAACGCTCTGGACTCGTCCTCCTCCTCATCCTCACTGTCCGACGATGTCGCCCACGTTCTGTTCTGCGGCCTGTACGGCAGTTCGGTGTTCGCCAGCGACGAGAAGTGCCTGTTTGAAACCTTCAACCACCTGATGCACCTGCAGTTCAGCGGCTGCGCGAACCCGAGGCGCATCCTGCGCAAGAACACCGGACCGTTTTGCAGGCTGTATCGGCTGCTCACCGAGAGCCTGTTCTCCGTCAAGTTGTTCCTGACGTCGGCGCTGCACGAACCGATCCTCGACCTCGTTCTGCACAATGAATACTTCCTCGACATTGACCCGTCGATTGCCGTGCTGCGCTTCCCGAGCAGTGAGCGCATCAGCCGGTTCGGCTGCGAAGGTGAGGAGTAGCGCATCTACCTTTCTTGCCTACTCATGCTGTTGTTGTTTGTAGCTGAATCTGCTTCGTGGTACTGTCGGCTACTGGAAATGAGTAGTTTGTTCGTATGTTGTTACTCATCCTAAACGTACAGCGAAGCATGGCTTTCTAAATGTGACTGTTTAGTGTAACGGAGTTATCAAAATAATAAGGAACCGCAAGGGGATTACGTGAGCAGCGTGGCAATGGAATGCAAATACGAACGATAGAGGGACATGGAAAAGAAGGAGGGTAAAGCCAAAGAAAAGGTGGTAACGTCATGATATTGCGCTGGACCACTCCAAGAATCGAAAGACTTTCAGGCCTTATCACAGGGTACACTGCGGATAAAGAGAATTTGCAGAGAATCAAAATGTCGGAACAATCAGCTTCTGTCGGTAGACTTTTCTGTTTGCAACTGAGAGATGTTTCCTCAGTGAACTTTTATGTTGATCCTATGGGTGGTCGGAATCGACAGTCACAACCGCAAACAACGTCAGTATCTATTCACACTGATGAATGCATGTGAAAAGGGAAAGAATGTAGACGTAAGCCATACGGATGTCGGTCTTCCCGACACTTCCATGATGGGCACCATTTTTATGGCGCCCTTCTTTTCTGGGAGTTTATGGTGCGGTGCTGATGTACGTTTCTATGCAATCAACCAGGAATGCACTATTTCATTGACATGTATACAGCTATACGACTAGTATAATGTGTAGTTTCCTGTTTTTTCCCCACAAAGTGGTACTTATTTATCGATATCGAAAAATTAAAGACGATATATCCGACCAGATTTTGAACTCACGATCTTTCGACTGTGCAGCACTTCATCTACAGAGCATTCCTTGTTTCTGATCGATACAGACAGACCTAAACCACCTTCATGATTTGTTGCACTGATGGAGCTATTATACTACGTTGTATTGGTTAAGGCATCTGTTGAGGTATTTCTAATTCTTTTTCGATATATGAAGAATAATCTTAGTTGCTGTGACTTGTAGATAAACAAGTTCATTCTGTTTATCAGTAAGATTTAGTTGTTATGCCGAATAATTAACGAAGACAATAGACTTCACAAAATATGTAATTGTAGCATGGATCTCAAGGCTAGTTAGGTATGAAGCTTCTACATTTGTAGATTTTTGAAGCAAACTTAGCGATGCGGGATCGCATAAACCTGTTAACAGCTCTGTGTGAGTACGGACATTGACATTTTAAATGGGCGAATGTGCAGTTTGAAGTTCTATGTTCAAAAATATCGTGTAGATGTTGTGAATCTGGCAGTGTAAAACGGCTGAAACGCAGTCAGATCTGGACAACTGGGCTATATAGGGCGGTTGCCAGTTTTCAAGGAATGCTGCTAAGGCGAACTAATAATCTTGAGGAAGTTTGGATCAGTTTGAAACCTTTGTTTCAGATAAAGGAAAAATTACTGCGCGGAAGAACATTGGCGTAAATCCCTATCTCACATGTGAGAATAATCTGTAGCAATGAAGTTTCAGTATTAGAAAAGAGACCGTTTTGATCTTGCTGCGCCAAACGTACATGTTCATGTAATCTAGGTGATATAACGAGTAAACGACAAGCGAGTATTTCAGACAGACTTTGCAGTCTTAAACACAGTTCGTTTGCAGAAGAAACAACTACAGAATGACTGTTTGAATGAAACAAGTATTTTTCTCTAGATGGGAAGAAACGTAAAGTTCAACTTGAATTGAGGAATAAACTTTTTTTTCTAAAACGTGTCCCAAGGTCGATCGGTGAGGTAAAGTAGTTTAATACTGTCTGGGCCTTTGTATGCTGGCTTTACTATGCAGATATCATCAACGAATATGAAGTAAACGCAAGGACTGTTAAAAAATAAAATTGCGTGTAAATGTAGCAAATTGTAAAGGCACAATCCGAGGATTGTTAAGGAAGGCTGAGAATTCATTCTGATATATTGCATTAATCGACATCTGCTGGAAAGATAGCAGGATGTAGGACGAATGGCATGGGTGTTAAGGAACACATCATGTATATCGATAAAGAGCGAACACTCCATTGCAAACAACAAAATAACTTCTGGGACCATGTCTAATACATTAATTTCTTGCAAACTGATTACAAAGAATTTTTCATTAGAATTTCTTAATGCAAAAATCCAATGAAAATGTGAGATTTTGGAGGATACGAAGGTGTTTTGTTAATTTAATTGATTCAAAAGTCACACATAGTAAGCGTTACGATTTTCATTAAAAACCAGACTCAGTGCAAATTGTATATGCGTTTGCAGACTATTAGTCTTTGTATTTCTGTTATATTTTGAGATTAACTGTGTGATAAGAAGACGCATGTCAAGCTCCCACCATATCGCTCATCATAAAGATAAAGATCATGGAGTAATAGCAAGAACAGTACTTTTGGATGAGTTTCAATGTTACATCCTACTGTCGAGCCACAAGCAATTGATTATTTCCATGGAAATGCTCTTTCTTAAATGAACATGTGATGTCGGTAAGAATGATCAAACAAAACTCCTTTTTGAACGGTGTACGCTTTGCGTAGAACCAATAAAATTAAAACTTAATAGATGCAGATTTCGTTCTTGACGTGCTATAATGGCATCGAGCTGTCTGTCTCCTCCGTTCAGAATGGGTAGCGACTCAGTTGCTGATTGGTGTCTTCGTCGTCGTTCCGTCGGTCTTCGTCAGCCGTTGTTGTGCTGCTACGCCCCCTGGCTGGCAGAGGGCGATGAGCAGAAGGCCAGGAGACGGCCAAGATTAACCTGGTGCAAATATAAGAAGGAGTCTGTTCCAGACTCCAGTTGTCCTTTGCCGAAGCTCAGACTCTGGCACAGGATCAGGAACGTTGGAAGCTCTGTCTGACGTGTCTGCCTCCGTGACCCGAAAGGAGAAGTGGCGATGGAAGATGAAGAGGATTTCGCTCCTTCGGCCACATGAAAATATGGACAACGGACTGCATAAGCAGCATAGAACTAACAGCAGTGATAAGAGAAAACAAAAATATGACGAAGAAAAAGTAACATGATACAAACGTCGTCGAGGTAACCGAAGACTTGACAGATAATCAAGAAATGCTGAATTAATTGACTGGTTTAGCGGACGGACCGTAGTAGAGGAAACATCTTCAGGAGGAGGACGAATAACAAGATGCAGTAGAGAAACAGTGGAGCGACAGAGGTGGAAGGGCAAGAGGTGAATGAAGTGGCAGAGGAAGAGGAATAGTAACAAGTGGTAAAATGAAAAAGAAAGGAGAGAAAAGTTTCGTACCTTCTGCACAAGAATATGTAAATATTATTGGAATATATATCAGGTGACATAACTCAAAAACAGTTGCAAAGATCATCGTCTATTAGTCATGAATGTAAAGCTTGGCAACGCTATAATGCCAAATTTTTTAAGTATTGCCATTCGTGCATTGCAACTGGTGTTTTGGTTTCATTTCTCGGTGGTATCTATAAAGTGCTATCGGATCTTCAGTTCTCTTTGTTCACAAATCAGCAGCTTTTGCTTAGAGGATTGATCGCTTTTTAAGGACGATGGCTTATATACAGGGTTGCTATCAGAGCGCCATTCTTTTAAGCAAAACTGTCTTAAAAGAATGTAGGGGGCATTGTCAGCTCTGTCATTACTAGAATCTCGTTAACCATACTGTTTCAGGGTTAATGATAGGTGTTATGGTTACTATAGTCGTATTGTGGTATATGTTACGCAGTTCCTGGCGTTGTCATGCGACTCATACTTCAGTTGTTCCTTGATTCCTTCGATGAGATGCCGACGTTGAATTATGGAAATTTTAATGTCGTCGTTACTAAAAGCACTATTTTAACAACGATAAAAACTTTTGTTGAGTCGCATCGCTTTAGCCAAGTACGCAATTTGCAGAAACTTTAAATCCATTAAAACTCATAAATAACTCCTTAATATATCATAAAACCCGTATATGTCCAGTATTGCATCAAACAGAATTTCCTGACTACTCACATGTATTGAACTTCTGTGCTACCTAACTGCCAATAGTTCATTCTTCCATCCAGTATCTTATTTAAGTTCCACAGAGCTTGCCTACCTCGACCCATCATGGAGTGCTGCCCATCTTGGTGAGCTGTTGTTCGTTTCTGTCCTCTTTTTTCCACCTAGGTGATGTGCAGAAGGAACGGAAACTTTGTAGCCACAGGGATATCTTCCCTTATACCTCCTTGACGGGCACGATTTCTAGCAGTTTCCTTTCATGGAGCAATTCAGTTCATTTTTCAACACCGCCTCTCCTTTCAGGCCGCAGAGGCAGATGCATTAGACAATGTTTCCAACGTTCCCGATCATGTATCAGAGTCTGAGATTCGGTAGAATAAAGGAGACTGAAGTAGATTATTTCATGTACTTGCATCAGATAAACCATGGACGCCTCCTGGGTCGACTTGATAAATAGCTGTTTCGCCCTCTTTTCTGGGGGACATTCACAACACATGCCAAAACGATAGCAGTTCTGATTTCTGAATCTGAAGAATCAACGGCGAAACATCAAGCCTGTCTCTGATTCCTCT